CCTACAGAGTCTATGGGCAGCCTTCCCTCTCGTTTTACCAGTGAAGGTGCTGAGGCCAGAGAAGCAGGGGAAGGGGAGGCACTCAGACAGACCTGGAGTGGAGCTGAGCTGGATAGTACCCAGGGCTCTGCCCAGTTAGTGAGTGCATCCTCCTGGGTACCCTGCTGGCACACTGTTCTGGGATTCTTCTGCTACTTCTGACAATCCCTAGACCTTTCCTGCCTTCTCAGATCCTCTCCACCACCTCATCTCCCCGGTTTGATGCTGCCTGCTCCCCTTAGCCTGGCTGGGCTCCTGCTCTGCCTTTGGATACCCTGAGCTCTCCAGCATCCCCAGAGTGCTGGTGCCAGCTCGGCCTAGCCTAACGACCTCTGTGCTGCTGCGGCCCACGTGCTGGCATGCCACCCAGCCACGTGGAGTCCTCTCGTCCCAGCATGTGGGTGGATTAACACAGACGCTCGGAGATATTCCCAGAGAGCCTGAGGAGGGACACCCAGAGCTCTGGGGCAGCCAAGATCACAACGGCAGCCAGTTCCCAGGTACCAGTTGAGTTCCTGAGACTCACTCTACCCCCCTTCTACCCAGGCTCCCATGATCAGTGCCTGCTCGAGGTACTGGGTTTGGCTGCTAATCTTCGTCTCCTGGGAAAGGTAAAGGCACACAGGAAAAGGCACAGGCACCTGGCCATTGATTAAATAAATGTAATATCTGATAAGGTTTCTTCTCTGCACTGACAAAAGAGTGATTTTGGAAGCTGACTTTGGACTTAGCACGGAGAAGGAAGACAGGTTCATTATCGTCACTTATCAAATGAACCAGGCCCGACTTTGTTGAAAGAGACTGCATTTCAAGATCAGTTTGAAGAATACGCATCCTGGAAATAGAATGCTCTCATTCGACCTCAGTCTGCAGAGGACCTATGAAGAGTGGTGGGCATTTCGGATGCATTTGTAGCAATAAGGGGCAGTGGTGGGCTTACTTTTTCTGGAATGATGCTTTCATCGAAAAGTCAGTCTACTCTGGCTTTGAAAATTCCTAGTGGGCCTACCTGGCCAATGTCACCTCATGCTGTGAGCAGTCACGGTGAAAACATGGAGAGAACATGAGCCACAGCCCTCATCTCTGAGGAACCTTCCTTGCCCAGACACCATATGTGCCGCCTCCCATGAATGGGCAGCAGCGAGAGCAATATGAAAAATGTCACTCCCGTCAGCTGCCTAGTGAAACTGAAGTGAGGACTTGGTGTCTGGCCAGAGTTGCACTGTTCTCATGAAATGCTGAAGGCCATGTGCTGGGACTGTGAATGGGTGAGGATGCGAGTGCTCACCAGATCCCAGATCCCAGATCCCAGGAGGGGCACAGTCCGGTATACATCATCCCTGGGCCTCTGGCACAGGTCAGAAACAGAGAGCAGGGAACTTGCTTCTTTAGAACCGCAAATACTAGGGCACTAGAATACCCAAGCTGGTGTTGCAGGGCCAGTCTACAGACAAAGAGCCTGGGCACGGAGAGGTTTAGTTTGTAGGGCTGCTTAGTGAAACCACCCCCCAAAAAGCAGATAGCAGTAGAACAGTCCTGTGGGTCTATAAGGGGGCCAGATGGGAGCAGGTATTAGAAGGTGGGGAGGGCAATAGGAGCAGCAGGGGAGGGTCTCAGTAAAGGAACTTGGTGAAGACCTCACGTGCATTCTACCATGCGCAACACCCAAATCACACAACTCTTTTGGTCTCTTTCCAGCCAACCTCTTAAGATTCCAGGTGTCTCCGGCCACACAGAGGGGGAGGTTCAACCAGAGGGCTCTGGAACTCCCCCCCCTCCCCTTGATCCCAGCAGCTCCCAGGGCTTCTGAATCCTTGGCCACTAGTTATTCTTTCTCAGTGGCAGCGGTTCTCAACCTGTGGGTTGTGACCCCTTTGGGGGTGGAACGACCCTTTCACAGGGGTCTCCCGATTGCTAACAGCAGCAAAATGACAGTTATGAAGCAGCAACAAAAATAATGTTATGGTTATGGGGTCACCACCACATAAGGAACTGTATTAAAGGGCGACAGCTTTAGAAAGGTTGAGAACCAGTGGTCTAAGGGCTCCATGGGAACCAGGAAAGCTGTTTAGGTGTGTGTGTGTGTGTGTGTGTGTGTG